AATTTCTTTTTCATTTGCAGTGAAGACTCAAGTGTTCTTAAACTGCTTTTACTGTTTTTTAATGACAAATTAAAAAAAAAAAAACTGTCTAGGTTATCTAAAATTTTGGTTCTCTTTTACTCTCAGACCTGATTAACTGAAAAACATAGTCCTGTCAGTATTGTTGAGCACTGTGAAATTATAGCTACTTTTTCAAAAAAAAAATAAATAAACCTCTAGTTATCACTCTGGGTCATTTAGTGTTGCTTAATAAAAATCTGTATATATTTATTAAGCCTGTGACAAAATTTTTCTTGAAGTCGTTTCAAAAATAGTAAAGGTTTTGATCAGTAAAATGATTTAATATTTCTTAGGAATCTTAATAAATTATTTTTCCCTGTAGGAAAATGCTAAAATGCATTAGACCAATAGAGAGATGTTAAAATTTCATAGAAAAAAATTGTCATTGAGAAAAGGAAAGATTACACCTTTTCAGCATATATAAAAATTGATTAAAGTGTTCTATATATGAGACTTTTAAAACCTAGTATGTTCCAGTATAATATTATTGGATGATTCTGGTTATTCTGAAATATATGTGTGTGCATGTCACAAAATTGAGCAAACATTCTTGTCTTTTGCTTTAAACCATTTTCAAGTTTTTGTTATTTCTAAAGGTTACTTGCTGAGCTTTGTCTTGAGAAAACTCACAAAAAGAATCTGACAATATAGATATGTTTTGGAACTGAGGACACCCACCAACCTTAAAAAAATTGGATTTATAAAAATTACCGATAGAAGATCAAGACAATACACAGGAGAACTACACTGAGGAGGATTTGTATAATATTTAATGACTTTTTAAAAAAATATTGGTCTTTAATATTTTGTTTTGTTTTGTTATCTCTAGAAAACTTGTCTTTAAACTGGGCTATCATCTTAATGTGGCAATTTGCATCTTTTTTATGAGAAAACTGGAACATTTGCTTTTCTCTTTTCTCATCCCCAAAATGTGTAGGCAATATTTGCACTTCTCAGGACAATGCCTATCTTTGCAAAATCTCAATAGGGAATTTTATTTCTCCTTAAAGTAGAAAATTAAACATTTTTTGTTACAAGGTTTTGATTGAAATTCTTCTGGGAGTAAAATTTGAGCAGAGCTGAGAAGAGTGAGCCAAGAAGAGCCTGTCACCTTGCTTACCGGGTTCCACAGACCTCAATGAAAGGTGAGGAAACTGCCCCATTGGCAGGACTGGAAAACCCTGGAAAAGCCCTGGGAACCTTGAGGAGAGGAAATCTCAGGTGAAGTCTGGTGAGACTGTGACTTTGATGAAGCCTGCATGGACTGGGTATTAGAAAGCTCACTCCAGGCTGTGGAGTTTTCAACAAAGCCAACAACATTCTGCTTGGTTATTCTGCCCTGTGAGTTTATGCAAATATAGGTAAAATTATTTAAAATTATGTTTGGTTTACTATTTTACAGAATTGGGATGAGGGTAGATAAAAATTGTGTCTCAGTAACTATATTAGTGAGTAGTCCTCTTCAGTTAGGGCTGTATCCTAAATGTCATCATCTTGAAGAAGGGAAAAACCCATCCCTATAACATTTACGACTATGATACGTTGTGTACTTTATTATTGCCACCCCGCCACCAAAGCCTTAACATCATGTCGGGAACTGTGGCACCAGCAAGCGCAGGCCTTCCATAGTAAACCCACCACCACCACAACCCCATATTCAGCAGGAAGCAGCCAGAAGGTGCGACACCCCTTTCTCCCATAGAAATGGAAGGTCATAACAGAGAGTGGGGATTATGACGCAGTTAACAAGTTTGTCTTTCCTGTATCTTGCAATTCCCACCTTGTTTGATATATGTGATGCCCTGTGAGAAACCCACAAGGGCATCGAAGTGAGGAATGATGTCCAAGGAAAAGGGAGTTAAACAGCAGAGCCAGCTGGTGCCCGCCCATCTCCATGCCAAGCCCACCCCCCTCCCCTTTGCATACTCTTGCCCATCTCTCCTTTATTTTTTCCTTTGTAAAAGTCTCAGGTTACACCCCCTTGGGTACATCACTCCGAAGTGAAATGTGCCTACAAACCAGAAAAAGGACACTTCAGCCAGCAGATGGACAGCAGCCCCTGATCCAGAGGATTTGTAGCCTTCACTTGAGGCTACAAATGAATCAACCCATCAAGGTGGCCTGAGACATCAAGCCCTGCTCTGGCCACACTCGGGAAGCTGGTCGGTCTACACACAGCAGAAGCTTGAGGACATTCTACATGTGTGACCTCTTGTTATTTTTACTGTTCCTGTAGTTACCGTCTTTGCAGTCGGCCTAGCCACTGTGGTTCCTGACCACTAGGATTGGGAGGCCTTCTTGCCTCCGGTTTGACACTGTGTGTGGACATAATTGTTTTCAAATGTTTGCTAAAATGAGCCTGCTTGCCAGTGTCCTCCTACGCCTGCACCTCACCCCTCTTCTGTATGTGAGGACTTGTCTCCCAAACCCTGAGTAAGTGCAATGAAGCCAGGGTTTGTACCCAGCCTGACAGAAGGGCCACAAAGAACAAGGGAGCTCTCTGGTCTCCCTCCTCCCTGGGCTTCTTCTGGTCCATCCCAACAAACGCCTGTGTCCCAGCTAATCAGTGCTGCACACATGGCTTTCAACCTCTCAAATGTGGCTCTTGCTTTAGATTGAGGGATTTGCTTAGGGCCAGGTCCTGTCCAGTATGAGGGAGTCATACTCAACCCAGGTTTGTTCCCTCCAAAGGTATCACCTAACTCCTCCTCAAATCTCATCCTAGGTCCTGTGTCTCTGTGGGAAATGCTACAAACCCTTTGACTCACGCTTCTAAGATCTGTGCCGCAGACGACCCTTACCTGGCCTGTGCTGAGGGAGTGTATCAGTGTGTTACTCCACACAAACAATTGTGCTTTGTTCTAAATTTGTTGCCTAACTTGTCTGTTGTATGTTTTAACTAAAAGAGATACACTTTCAATGCTAAAATCCCCTCACCAGGTTAAGAGAGTCCCCCTGACCATCCCACTCATAGGGGCCTGCTGACTGCATCCAGAGCTGCTGAGGTGAGAACCTCAAATCCATCATAAAGGGCCGGTGCCTGACTCAAGTCAAATTTGAATGCTCTCATTAGATCAGTCCTAGCCCTCCAACGCCAAGGTGACTCCTTGGCAGCTGTAATGCTCCAGGACCAGCAAAGACTAGACCTGTTCACTGCTGCCCAAGGAGGTATCTGTATGGCAGAGAAGAGGCCCTGCAGCAGCCAACCAAATAAGATTCATCCTCCACAGGGTTCTGGTGACTCTCACCTCATAATGGCCACTGGGTAATGATCAGGGTTCCCTTGAAAAAAGCTCTATAGGTGATGCCCTATGAGAAAAATAACTCACAAAGGCATCAAGGGGGGAATGATGAGAAAATATATTTTTGAGCAAATGAATATAATAAAGATTCCAGGAGAACTTACAGCCCATGTGCAATGAACACGCCCATGCAGGCGTAATCAACAAGTTTGCTTACTTACAGCTCTTTCCCTTTCAAGATTCATGGCCAGGGCCTCAGCACTCTTATCTACAAGGTCCACCAGCCAACCAGCTGGTCTCCCTCTCCAAGGCCATCCCCAAATGCCTGCATTTCCCCCCCTAACCTTGGCCCCCTTGTCTAGGGACTTTGCCGCAAATGGTTGTGCCTGCTGAAAAACGATGCTATCAATGTAACAGAAATGGAGACCGTTGTGTATAAAAGGAACCCTTGGTCTTTAAACCGGTGCTCAGACTTTACAGGGCTGCCCAGGTCTGGGACCTCACGCATGAGTCATAAAGCTTCTCCTGACCTCACCATTCCTGAAGTACCGCTTGTTCCTCTGCCTGGGTAAAAGGCTAGAATTTATTTCTACAACAATATATTTAATTTTTGGCCTCTGTTATAATTCCCTTACATGATACAATTTTTTGGTAAAAGAGTCTTTTTTTAAGCAATAAGAAGAAATCACTCTATAATTATCCATGCAGATACCATTTCCAGTGTCCTTCAGTTTTTTTGTATAGATCCAAATTTCCATTGATTGCCATTTTCCTTCTGCCTATAGTTACTGCTTTTAGCATTCTTGTAGTAAGGGTCTATTAATGATGACTTTTTTCCTGCTTGTTTATAAAGGAAAATGTCTACTTCACCTTTGTTTCTGAAAAATATTTCCCTGGGCATTAAATTCTATTTTAACACCATATTTTCCAGTATTTTATGATGTTCCCCCAGTGTTTTCTCATTTTTTTTTTTTGTTTACAATAACTCTTCTGCCAGCCTCATCTTTGTTTTCTGCCTAGAATGCTATTTTAAACTCTGACTTCTTTACATCTCTCGTTTTGAGAAATGAGATTTTTATGTGCCATGGTATTTTCTTCATTTTTATGCTTTGGGTTCAGTAAAATTTACTATAGACTGAAGGTTTGTGCACCTCCATATTTCATGCTCTGAGAGACACCAGAGCGCTGCATGTGAGCACATTTGAGGATCCAAGGAGATGACAGTTTTCAGTGAGCCAGGGACCTGACTCTTACCAGACACCAAAAATGAAAGCTATTTGATCTCAGCTTCCAGAACTGTAGCAAATTATTTATGCTTCTAATCAAATTATTTATGTTTCTAAGCAAATTATTTATGTTTCTAAGCAAATTATTTATGTTTCTAAGCAAATTGTTTATGTTTCTAACAAATTATTTATGTTTCTAGTTTATGGTATTTTTGTTTCAGCAGCCAAATCAGACTCAGAAAGTTAATTGCATAAGAAGTTAATAATGATCGAATTTAGAACATATTTTTGGCTTTTATTTCCTCAAGTCTTTTTCTGTCCAATTTTCTTCTCTCTTCAAGGAAGGACACAAATTACCTTTGTATTAGGCCTTTTCAAGTTTTCCACAACTCACTGATCTCTTCACTAAAAAATTGTTTTAAGTATTTCCTTTTCAATAGTAATTAATCAAATTGAATGAAACATTTCTGTCTTCAAGTTCAGTAACAATTTATTTCTGCAATAGCTAATCTGTTTTCTCCCCACAGGTGCGGTCCCCACACTCCCACCATCATATCAAATACTCTACAAAAACAGTGACATAAGAAAATAAAAATAAATTTAAACAAATAGTGAATCAACAGATAAGATAATTCAATATAATATAATTTTCATCTAATACATTATTTTTTCCATCTCTTGAAGTTCAATTTAGGACTTTCTTTTTAATTAATATCTCTAGTGAACTTTCTGAGTATCTGGAATACAGTTATGACTGTTTTAATGTCCCTTATATGTTAATTCTAACACCTGTATAGTTTCCGTATAATGTTAATTTACTGATTTTCTAGTATACATTGTATTTTCCTGCTTCTTTTCATGCTCGATATTTTTTTTTTTTGAAAGAATTGTGACTTTTGCTTTGTTGAATTTGCTCTGGAATGAAGTTAAGATACTTATAAATAATGTGACTCTTTTGGGAGTTGCCCATCAGTATTGAATGGATTTTTAGTCTAGTTCTAACTATTCCCTGCACTGAGACAAGACTCTTCTTCACTCTGTGCAGGTTTTCTAACACTGGTAGAAACTCTCTCCTCATCCTTGTTTAAGCCATGAGTACTATTAACTCCCTCTAATCATTTCATTTTTAATATAAGTTTTGATTACAGGGAGAAGGAAAATTTTCACATCCATTGGTAAATATACTTAGAATTCCCAAGAATACAGAATATTAATTTTCCTTATTAATATCTTAGGCAAAGCAATAAGATTTTTCTTTACCTTCAATAAGATAAATACCTCAATATATTCTCACCTTATTCTGGTTTCCCCAGATTTCCATCATGTTCACTTCACATTTTTTAGAATTGTATTATGATTTATATATATATTTATTTATTCTTTTCTCAAATTACCCTTGAACTTAAAATATTGCTTAGCTTACTCTCAATTTCAGTTTAACTATTCTCCTTCAACATTTGAAAATAGCATTCTTGTCACTTTTATTCAATGTTGCTATTGAGAAATGTGAAGTTAATGTAATTTTTATTCCTTTGAATGTTTTCTTAGTAATGATACTTAAAATAGGGCCCTAAGACCAATGCCTGATACAAATAATCTTACCAGTTCTTTATGAGATAAATCTAGAAAAAGTATTATAAAACTTTTAGAGTAAATGGACAGAATATTTCAGGTTTATTGAATTTAATAATAAAATAATTACCAACTTCAATTTTATGCCTTCCTTTTTTCACTTCATTTTCCCAGTTTATTTTTTAAAGTATCACTCAAGTCTTTGATTTATACTAGTATAAAGCAAGACATATATACATGTACAAAAAGTATCATTTTGTGATATATACTAGTATAAAGCAAGACATATTTACATATACAAAAAGTAAAAATGACTCATCTTTGCAGACTGTTTAAGATATATTGCTTAATGATCAGCATCTCTGGTCATGGATACTCTTCAAGGAGTCTCAGGGTCAAGTGGTTTCATGATCAGTGGACCTGTCAGGACTGGAGTCCTGGGGTTTACAGAGAAGGGCTACTCTCTTCATTATATAGGCTCTCCTGCTAATTCACTATTATGCATTTCGGGAAAGCTCCGTGGACTTACGTTTGAAGTAAGGATAGAGTGACCCAGAGAAGGTATCCTCGGTGAAAGAGAAGATATGGTTACCATCAGCCATGTTGTAGAAGGAAATGTCACTATCCTCATAATCCAAGAAAACCATAATCTTATTTGGAATCTTTTCTACCTCAGCAGGTTCTTCGCGGGAAATCTCTTGGAGACAATAGGAGAGAATCCTATAATTATTCCCCTTTTTCTCTAAGATTCTAAATTTCTTCCTTTGTGAATCTTCAGATGCTCCACTCCTCTTTGTGGAATCCTCATAAACGCCTACAGTCCACTCCTCTGTGTCCTCAACATCCACCTCCCAATAAAATCTCCCTGAAGTGATGTCTTCCTGGTTAAGTGTGATCAGGTTGCTGTCTCCTTGATTACTGGGAGTTGTTTCCTCTTTGTCGTTTTTTACAGTCAATTTGACTGGAAGAGAAAAAAGGAAAGAGCCAACTTTGTACATTTCTGAAACCTGTTTGTAGGTTAAGGTAAAAGTATCAGGCCCTCCTGCCATTAGGACAGATGACGGATCCCTGCGGTCCTGAATGCATGCCTGATGGCGGGCACCTGGAGTAGGGTGTGGGCATATGGAGATGGGATTCACCTGGACTAAGACTGAGCCTTTAAAGGTGGAGTCATGGGGACGCCAGCAGAAGCAGCATGAACAGAAGAAGCAGAACAAAGAAGCCGAGAGAGAAAGAACAGAGAAGCAGAGACCACCAGAGAACGCCGGAGAGCCCAGACAGAATAAAGAATTGCCAGGGGCTGGGAAGCCTGCCAGCCTCCCGGCCCCCCAGCACCCCTATCTGCCATGTACCTGGTAAATCCCAATAAAAGCCTTCAAAAGCCACTGAGGGCTCCAGTACTCTCTCCCCCTTTACCCCGTCTGCATAGAATCATAGAAAACCTGCTCCATGTCCTGCCTCTGCCCCCTACACTGTTGTACAGGTGACATCTTAAAGAAATGGGCAAATGTGATTGGAGTAGTAAAAATAAAAAAAGCCCCCTTCTGACAAATGTGTTGGCTGAGGTGGAGCTAGGAGTCAGGGATGGAAAAGGTTGTGTTCTTACCTGGGTTCTATGCCAGGTATCTCAAATTATCTTATCCATCAGTCTTTCACAGAATGCCTGAGGAAGCCCCAAGCTTGAGACTAGTATTTTTTATTTTAGACTAGTATTTTTTCCCCAATTCTCTACAAATTAGATGTATCTACATTTAGTAGCAGGCTCCGTGTGAGCTCAACCATTTAAAAGGAACAGCTGAGCTGCTTTTAACTTATTTGGGGGGTTCTCCTCACCTAAGGGACTATGTTAATTTTTGCTTCAGAAGCAAATTAATCCCACAGACAAGAAATGTGGACCAATATATAAACAATATATGGATGTGGAAACACAAGCAAAATAGCTAATCTTAAAGCAGTTTCCAATTCCAGCTACTATTTCATGATCTCCATGTTCCTCCCTTTCTTTATCAAAATAATGGTGCCTGTCTTTTCATTGATGTCAGGAAGGACAAAACAGGATGTCAGAGGTCAGTTTCAAATGGAGCCAAAAAGATGAAGCACAACTCACCGGACTTGAAATGCTCCTTTCTCCAGTCTGAAAGAGAATGACATAAAGTGAGTCTGAGATAGAAGCAGGGAGTGAAAAGGAGGCAAAATGTCCGCTTCCCTGGCTCATAGCTTGGTCCAGCTACCCTCACTCCCTCGTCTTAGGCCCTTAAATTCTAAAAACTACAGGACACCTGGTGTGCTTCCTGGGCTCTGTCTCAGATTATGAATTATCCCTAGTTCAACCCAGTTCTGGGCGAACAAGGTTGTCCAGCCTGAGCTGGGTTCGGACGACACCTGGATCTACCCTTAAGACCTTTATGGGCTTCCTGAATGAGGATGGCAGCGACAGAATGGCCTTTCATTTTGTTTTACTTTGGGTTTTCCAGTCAATAACCTTCTTAGAGTAGATTTAAGCTTATGAGTAAGGCTTTTAAACTGACCCTATCATTTTGACCTTTATAATCAGATTTTTAAAATATTTTTCCCTACAGATAGATTCCTCATGGAATCTCTGTTCCTCATCTCCACTGTTTCTGCCTGGGGCCACTTATCTTATGATAGGACTTGTGATTTTATTTCAAGATGAATATTCTCAGTGAATCTCACTGAATTCACTTTGACAATAGGAAGATAAGGATAGCCATAATTCTTAAATAGAACAGGGGAAACTGCTTATGCAAAAACTTTGACCCTAGGGAAGGGCTCCTCTGTCCTCCTCTTATCAAAGCACTTATCAAGTTGTGTGCAATTGCCACTGGACTTTAATTGCCATAGGGCAGATGTAAGAGTTTATGCCACTAACTTCCTGCACAATGGCTGACATATAGAAATTGCACAAGTTTATGTTCAAGGAATGACCTAGTATGTTTTTGAGGTCCACACTATATTACACACATACAAACACACACTTATAAACCCACACAATATATAAACACAAATATTAGAAGGTACAAAGATAGTAATTTCTCCCTCTACCAAGTTATATTTATTTTTACAAATGATATTAAAATATTTTGAAAAATTATTTTTCAAAGTTTTTCAAACAAATTTATATCCCTGAATATTGAACTTCACTTACTTTATCTTGAATACAAGTAAAATCATAGTTCATACATTTTTAAATATAAAATATAACACAATATATATTTCTTAGAACTTATTTGCAATATAGAAATATTGCTATAAAAGGATATTTTTTATTCTTCTCAAATTCAAAATCACTCTGAGTTCTTTCCCTTCCTTCTTCACAGTGGATGGAATAACAACTTGTGTTGAGCCTTATCTTGGCCATGTTGTAGAATTTACCAGTTAGCAACTTATTTTTTCTTTATCCTGAGACCTGAAAAATCTTTGATTTTTTGAGCCTCTAAGTACATATAGAACAGACTAGAGATTAGTACTAACTAAATCTTCGCAATTTGCAAGAGAACGTGTGTGCGCGCACACCAACTATGCTCAGAATACCAGGGGTACATGGCAATATCCAGGCCAGAGAAAAGAGTTTCTTACCAGGGTATATCAGTGCCTTCTTCCAATCTGAAACATAACAAATCCAGGTAAGATAAGTAAGACATTAATCTGGGGCCCACATTCCTCCCCTCCCACTTATCTTTCTTCCACCGATCACCATTAAATTTTTCTGATTTTTCCTCTAAATAAAGGAACCAAGAAAGCGTTGGGTGTCAGGCCATCAAGTGGTATGGGAAATGCAGAAGAGCCTCTTACCTAAATCATATAATCTCTTTCGCCGAGCTGAAAGAAACAACATGCAGTGAGGGATTTAGGACAGATGAGGAAAGGGAACATATTCTACACAAAGAATGAGAGGAGTAAGACTTACCAAGCTCTTCCTTGAGTTTCCCTGTAAAAAGGAGACATAAAATCATCAAACTGGGATTACACTTCCCCTGAGTTTTCAGTAGTTAAATTCAGTGAGAACTTCTGTGTCCCACAGTGAAGTAGATGAGAAAGTCCAGCACACGTGTGTGTCAAATCTAAAATGTTGAGTGCTGAGAGTTACATAGGGGTGCTGCGGGGCCACAGAGAAAGGAGTGCCCAAGTGTCATGGGAGTATATGATTTCTTAGGTGTTTTGCAGCCTATTCTTGATGAGCACATAGAAGACATGAAAAGACATTTCCACACAGAGAAACAGCAGCACAGGTTGGGGTACAGAGGTCTGGAAGAGCATAGTGTGGTCTTAGGGTCCCCACTTTGAGAAATCATGACCACTGTCCACAAATCACTTTCCCTCCCTCACCTACCCCCATGCATGCGCACACAGACACTTGGTTCTCCTTCCACAAGACTCCCAGTTCTGTGGAATTCTTGACCCCATGTTTTCCTAGGAGTCCTTTGGCAACTTTCAATTTCAGCATCTACACTATACAACCTGTATCCCCAACTTTTCCATGAACCTCTGTTTTGCCCCGTTGTCCCAATTTACCTCTGGTTTGAAGGGCCGCTTCCTTTTCAATCTTCATCTGATCTCTCTCTTCCAATTCCTTCTTCTTTCTAATTATTGCTCTCTCTTTGGCTTGATGTTTTCTCCAGCCAGTGTAGCTGACCCCCGCGAGGAGAAGCAGCAGCACAGGGACTGTCCCAAGCGTGGCTGCCTTCCATGGACACATCCTGGGGAAGAAGGGTTCTGACAGGGGACGTGGAGACATGGTGAGGACTGGCCTGAAAGAAGCCCTGCTCTTTCCAAGGCTCCCTTCTTCTCCCCACACCCCTGCCCTTACTACACCTCCAACTCTGCCTTGAGGTCTGGGCCTTACTGACCTGGGAGGATGATGGCTGATGCTATCTGCTGGCCAGAGAGGGGATTCTGGATGGAGCAGGTCACATTGTTCATTGAGCTGTCTGTGACAATGACAGATGACTCCACGTGGAAAAGCCCTTTGTCATCTTCAGTGAAAGACTCAGGAAGAGACTTCAGCTCCCCTCCAGCCTTGTTAATCCAACGCACACTGGGTTTTGGGAACCAGCCACTTGAGGAACATAGGACTCGAATCCCATTTTCCTCAGGCCCCGTCATGTAAACTTGAGGGGTAGATCCCAAACCTGAGAAGAGAAAGCATGTGCCTTAGACCTTTGGTCCCCAGGGCTCGGGAGTCCCTGAAACTGGAGTTTGTACTCCCCTTCACAAGATTGGTGGATGAACTAAAGCTCAGAAGTCAGTAAACTGCTCTTAATCAACATTAGTTAAACAGTGATTCCATTTTGAAATCACCTTAATATCTTTTCCCTACACTTGGACTAAGAGAACTTTTATGTCAATCTGAGAGAAGAGAGAAAACTAAACTTATAAAAAGGAATTTAATTCTATTAGTTTTTTTTTTCTCTCCTGATTGGGTGAAAGTTATTATTTAATGTGCTGATACCTATCTGAATTAACATTAATCAATAAGCTACAAGGTCTTTAAGGAAATCAAAATATATTCAAGGACATTGCCCTGTTGGTGTTTAAAAACAAATAGAATATGTAGCCTTTTCCTTACATGTAGGAAATTTACACTCCACAAAGTAAAGCAGCAGTGTATCCATAGAGGATCACAAGAAATGTCAGAATAAAATGCAGATGCACTGACCTTTCTCCTCACTTGACATCATGACAGATTGTGCCAAACTGACATACCTATAACTTGCAGCTGCACGGTCGTCTCTTCGGACATGGAACCATCCTTAAATTGACACCGGTACTGGCCATCATCAGAGGCCCGGACCTGCTGGATCAGTAGGGACGCATCCCCTTTGTCGATAGAGGTCCCCAACAGCTTGGTCCTGTCGCGGTACTCCAGCATTTGCTCCCCGTCTTGCTCCTGCCTGTCCTTGTATACGAGCACAGCGGGGGAGAGCTGGGTTCGGTACCACCGGATATGCATGTTGACTGCGCTCTGCTCAGGGACCAGACTACAGGGCAGAGTGGCGTCTGCCCCCAGCAGGGCTCTGACAGGCTGGGATGGTCCCTTCACAGAAAACTGTGACACTGCAAGAAAGTCAGACAGATTACGGGAATCAGCGAGGGGTGGTGAAATGGAAGACACATGTATCATTTTTATTTAAGGACCCAAACATATTTCTCATATTTCTTCCTTATTTGTATTATTTCCCAAAAAAGTTACAATATATTACTTTTAAAATAATATGTAATCATTATTTTATTTTTATATATAATATGTATGTGTGTATATATATATATATATATATATATATATATATATAACTTCTTCAGCTGTATTTCCCAGAAGCAACACCTATAAATGGTTTTGCATTTTTCAAAAGACCTTTATTTTTGGGTTTTTATTTTCTTCCTTTCTTTTTTATTTTTAATTGAGTAAATATCTGGATACTTTCATCAGGTAGTATCACCATAGTGCCTCAACCACCAACTCACCCATAATCCACCACAATAGTTCATAGGGCTTCCTTCCCTCTTTGCTCTTACCCCTGCCCACCCCTCTGGCACTTCAGTTCTGTAGTCAGCTGTCAAAGGTTAGTTTCTAAGTTTGTCTGTATCTGACTCCTGGTTTTTTAGTGAATTCCACATATTAGTGACACCATGTGGTTCTTATTTTTCTCCTTCCAACTTATTTCACTGAGCATTATGCCTTCAAGCTATGCATTTACAAATACTATTTGTAGATATGTTACATAAAACCTATGTAAAAGAGATTTACTGAGAATTATATGGAGAAGTAATTTAGTAAGCAGTTATTCTTTTGAGGGTTGGAGGGGAATGGAAGGTGTTTTTCTCCTCAATTATCCCTTTGTGCCCAGTTCTCTTCTCCGAAGACTGTAAGTAGACATTTCTAACCTGGATTTTAAATAACTGTGTGTTTGGTGTGGCTGGGGCAAGGGGAGGATTAAATGCATTTTATCCCAAAGTGAAAAGTAGAATTTGTAAGTTTTTTAATTAAATATACAATAAAGAATATCATACAGTCATATAATCAGCTCTGCTTGACTGACTATACCATCATGTTTAAACTTATCCTATATCAGTGAATATTTATATTGATTAAAATTTATTGCTACTATAAATAGTCTTGCAATGAACATTATATATGACACACACATATATTATATATATATACACATATATATACACACACGTATATCCACATATATATATGTATGGATACATATAGGAGAGAGCTTCTCTTGACGACAAATTTTTGTAGACTTGCTGAGTCAACATGTATGGAAATTAAATGTTTCGATATTAAAATTGTGTAACTGGCTTCAAATTAAAGACATGGTAACAAAACATGTCACTGTTGTGAGCTCATAGAGTTTCTCTATAAACCAAAGTCTGAAAACTTCATCCTGAAAGGTCCTCTTTTTCATGAAGGAAGGACTCATGTCCCAGAAAGAATATGTTATTTGCCCAACATCATCACCAGAGATAGTTCAGGGATATATGTCTACATTCTTTTTACTGAATTAAGTTTTCTCGGCATTGTGAACACCACAAATAATATTTTAACAGTTTAAACCACCCATACTCAATAAATTCAAAGAAATACTGCAGCAATGACTTTTATATTGTCTTCTCAAAGGAGAAAGGGATATTGATAAGAAGGGGGTCTGACACCTCAAACTTCTTGCCCTCAACAATCAGTTTCTCCAGAATATGAAACCTTTTTGGGATGTGGTAGAGTTGCTTGATGGCTGATCAACTGTATTTTTTAAAGATTTATTTATTCATGCGTACAAGAACTGGAGTACAGGTCAGATGTGCGGGAGGGTGAGAGGATTCACCAGAGACAGAGCAGGTAACAGAACAGGAAGATTGACAGAAATACACTGCTGAGAGGAGCAGTGGGCGAGACAGGAGCGGTCTGCTGCGCCATGTGGGTATCTCCCTGGCCAGCCGGAATCTTTTTTTTTTTTTTTAGATTTTTTTTTTTTTATTTATACAAGCACTGGGGTATAGGCCAGAGCCACAGCAGGGTGAGAGAATTCACCAAAGACAGAGTGGGGAGCAGAACAGGCAGAAGGACTGAAATACACTGCTGAGGGGAGCCACGGGTCAGGCAGCAGAGGTCTGCCATGCCATATGGGAATCTCCCTGGCTGGCTGGGTATCGAACCAGTGCTGCAGAGGCTATGGAGAGCTTCACAGCACTGCGCTCAACCCACAGTGCCACCAGGGAGGCCCACCATCAGGAATCTAACTGATGCTGCAGAGGCTGAGATAGCTTCACAGCTCTGTGCTCAATCGCCTGCGCCACCAGGGGAGGCCCTCAACTGTGTTTTTTATATGAGAAGATCTATTGAAAACAGGGCAAAATTAATAATAAAAAATAATAACATGAGGGAGAACACTCACCTGCTGAGCTCCAGGTACACACCTGGAAAAGAAGGAGGACGAGAAAACCAGCTGGAGAGATACCAGGAAAAGCCGCCATCTTCAAAGCAGAAAGTGAAACTCCGAACGCAGAAAATGTTCACTCTGACAAGGAGCTACTCTGTAGGAGAAGGCAGTGAGAAAGAAAGCCAGCAAAGTGAAGAGGCTCAGAAAAAAAATCCCCTGTTCAAAGACTTACTTTCATACACAGTTTTTTGAACATTTTCTCTCACAGCCTTTAAGACAAACGAACATCACCAATTCCCACTCACTCCCCGTGGGTTTTCCTTCCCTCTTCTTTCTGAAAACCAACTACTAGACCTCAGCAAGTGTAGAAAACTGCAAACCATTCTCCTGTGTCCATGGGCTCTATATTATCTAAATATTTGCCTTCTCATTGGGGCTCTCATGAAACTGAAAGCACTGAGTTCAATGCTGAGAAATGAACACACATACAAAATTAGTCCACTCCTCAGTCTATTTTCCCCTTTCTTGCATTAATTCATTCATTTATTCATTTATGCAGTTATTTATCAAGTTATCTTGTTAGACCACAACTCTTGTGGCTTAACGACCAAAAGGGAAGGTAGTTTGCCCACCAGGAGACCCAGAGCTCACATCCTTCTTTTGTTCAGAACCCACTTGTCCCACAGACACATGCAGATGAGCACACATTTCATTCTCTTACCACCCAGTCTGAGCCAGGAGAGGGGATTTTCTGGAAACTCCTGGTCTCTTTGGTACACGTATAAGTTCCTGCTGGAGATCAACCTCCAGTTGATCTTGTGGTCAGCATCCAAGAGGTGCTTGGCTCAGGGTCTGGGAGCAGCAGGTTTATCCATCCCTGGATGGCAAAATGTTCATAAGAAGGGGGGCAAACAGGGCTGCCGAGAGGCACTGGCACTGAATGAGCCCCCAAGAACAGGTCTAACTAGGAAGCCAGCCTCCAGCTCTTCTAGTTATTTTGAAAGTGAAATTAATGAAGACCAATCAAAGAACTTTGAACTGGGCTGAGCTACAGAGTGATAGAAACGCCCAAATTGTCTTTACATAAAATGCTTAGAGTAGCTCTCTCCTGCCACCTACCAAAGGCTGAAATCACATTATTCAGAAAGGGAATCATCTTTCCATATAATATTATATCTGATGGTCATCTTAATGTTCAACTCACAAAGTTAACTGATTTAGAAATAAAACCAAGAAAATTCTTCCTCCTACCACAGCACTTAGGGCTCACAAAAGTAGGAGGGATATAATAACACAACTACACAGTGACAGACACAAAGTGTGCTCAAAAGACATTTTCTTTCCATTTCAAATTATTCCCATTTATATTTCTTCATGCCACACAAGGTGAAACAAACAAAAATCTCAGTTTCCAGAGTCCAGAAAATGTGTTTTTTACAAAAGGAATCAGATTCCATCATACATCTTTTCATTCAACATTCATTGCTAGAAAACAATTGAATGTGATCTTTACATTCCTGAATGAAAATTAGGATTATTTTTTTTAAGATTTATTTTATTTATACAAGAACTGGGGTACAGGCCAGATACATGGGAGGGTGAGAGGATTCACCAGAGACAGAGCAGGGAACAGAATAGCCAGTTGATGAAATACACTGCTGAGGGGAGCAGCGGGTGCGGCAGGAGAGGTCTGCTGCACCAGGTGGGACCCTTGTGGGCGGGGATCCAACCAGCACTGCAGAGGCTGCAGACAGCTTCACAGCACTGCACTCAACTGCCTGCACCACCAGGGAGGCCTGAAAATTAGAACTATTTCAGCAACAAAACTAACATTTAAGTGTAAGGGCAAATAAAAGTTCTGGAAGTTTTATCATGCATCTCTTAAATGAACAGTGAAGGTTACAGGTTTTGAATGAGGAGCTTGGAGAAGGGAAAAGGTGAAGATACTTCTGGGAGACATCTCATGTTCTGTGCACTCCTGCCCACATGGTCACTGTTGTTTGAGTTAAGATGGTAGATTTAGCAGATGTTGTCTATTGAAATCAACCACCTGGGAACAGAGGAGTCACCTCCTGACTTGATCTATTCTCTTTTTCTGGTAGCCTCTTCCAATAGAACAGTTGTCTCTAGAGAAACTGAGTTTCCTGGGGTGGTGACAGATATTTGGGGGTTATTTATTTAGACAGACTTAGAAAAGTTTTAACACTTCAACATAATGGAGAAGGCATTCAGTACGTATCACATTGGCTTACGCTGAGAATCCATCTTAATTAACTGAAGTGGATTTATATTTTCCAAAATGTAGAGAAAAAGGGCCTCCCTGAAGGAGCAGGGGTTAAAGTCTCAGCATTATCTAACATCACCAGCCACCATGACATGAGTTCGATCCCCAGCCAGAGAGCTGACCCACATGGTACAGCAGACCTCTCCTGTCTGGCCTGCTACTTCCCTCAGCAATGTGTTTCAGTCAAACCACCTGTTCTGCTCCCCACTCTGTCTCTGGTGTATCATCTTACATCTCCCCCTCCCCGGGACTGCACCCCACTTCTTGTATGCTTAAATAAATAAAAATAAATCTTAAAAAAATTAGAGAAAGTGTTGAATCTCACCAGTCATAACTTAAAATATTTGAACTAGCATAGCTGTTATGTATATTAAAAATCCCCCTAACTTCACTTATATGTTCTGTAATGGTTTTGTTAATTTGTGATTGTGAGTATAAATTGATTTTTGAGTTCCCAACTGATTTTACATTTTTAATTCTGCTGTATTTTTATTAGCAACATGCAATTCATGAAAGTTACATAATTTTAATGAATGTCTCCATTTGAAAAGTAGAACTTGTTGTTTTAAATGATTCTCCCTGAAAATTATAATTGATATTAAAATAGCTATCATTTTGTTAGACTGTGTCTGGTTTGTATTTGTCTGTTTCTTGTTTTGTTATTTTGTTACCTCTCTTATAAACCATATAGTGATGTTCCATCTTAGATCCAGAACTTCAAAAATGTAAATCAGAGCTTTTTTTATTCTTTCAGACTTTAATTCAGAATGCCTACCTATAATTCTAAATAGGAAAAATAATTATTACAGAATTTACAGGACTTGAAGGATTCTCAAAACAAAAATGAATTATATAGACAGAGGACAACAATCTCATTCTCATTTCTTTTTATTGTTTACAGCACAGAAAGAAAATGAGAGGTTTCAGGGAATCATCCTGGAAATTTTATACAGTTTTACTTTCATCCTGGTCAAGATGGATATCATGGCAGTGTACTAAATTTCTATATCTGGAAGGAGAGTCAGATAGTATGAATGACCCAAGAAATGAGGGACTAACTGGCAGATAGAAATTTATCAACAAAAAGGTAGCTATATTGAAGTGAATTGAGCAAGATGTTAAAATAAGATTTATTAACACACAAAAAAGTTATATATTACTAACACTCTTCTAAGCACTTTATCTATGCAGTCCTGATGGAAAACTTAGGGTAGGTGAAAGGATTGATGCAGCAAAGAGAAGGAGAACCAGGCCAAGTTTCTGACAGCCAGGAACTTTACTGAGCCCCTAGGCCAGGTCACGACCCTCACCAAGGTCAGCAAAGTTGCGCCTGCGGTGAGGGAGGGATGTCCTTTTATAGGCAGGAAGTCGGGTATGGGAACCACAGTTGTTTTTCTGAAAGCTCTTTTTTTGGCGGTTTTTGTTGATTGCTATCAGGTCCTGTTTGAGGGGGTGGAGGTCTGTGGTTCCAGAAACTGAAGCAAGGGTAGAATTTCTCTGTGCAGTTTCAAGGCCCCTCTTGTGACTGCAGCCTGGGGGCCCAGCATGTCCCTGCACCGACCTTACATTAGGTACTTTATCAAAGTCATTGCCTGATGAGGAAACTGAGGCACAAAGAGGTGGGGTATGAAATCATACTCTCAAAAAACAGGCTCATCAGAATTTTGACTCATTAACCTGGTACTGTACCTCTCAGAAATAGTGAACTCATTCCTTTTTGATCCTCTCTATACCTTGTATGTTTGTATTACTTAGTATTATTTTCCAGGCCAGGTCAAGGTTTTCTGTCTGTAGGGTAAATGATATTCAGGCTTTCCGCCAGCAGCCAGTAGGATTACCCCACTTTAAGAGGCACCTGTGTTTGTTACATTGTTATAAGTGTATTGTCTACTTCTGTGGGCCATGGCTGCAGATATTGAGATATTGAGGAGAGAAGCAGAGGCAGAGAGAACAGGAGAGAAGGGGAAAAAGAAAGCCAGAGTGAAGACATGCCCAGGGCTTGGAGGCCTACTGGCCTCCTGGCCCCACAGCAACCCTGCTTGCCATGTACCTGGTTGCTGCACTACATGTGAAAGTTCAATAAAAGCCTGAGAAAGCCACCAAGGGCTCCAGGATTCTCCTTTACCCTAATCTGCTTGAATCATCCATATCCTGCTCTGTGGCCATTCTGCAGCTGTTACAGAACAACCCCGAAATGAAATGGGTTTCCTGACTGTGGGCCCTCACCCGCAAGCTTAAAGGGGACTTATTAAAGCTAAACTGCACACACACACAAAATGTTGATAGAAGGCTTATTTTACAAGGGAAGGGGAATGGGGAAATGAATAGCTCAGGGGAAAAAAGAGGGAGATAAGTTTGTAAATGTGTCTTACCTGTTTCGCTGACCTGGAATCCCAATGACCCGCCAAGCTGGTGAAAAACCGAGCATGCGTGTGGCCAAGAAGAGCGACCCCTGGCCGTAAGGCTGGTTAAATACTCAGAGAGTATAGTTGCTTAACTCCGCCCTCAGGTCCTCGCAATCTTCTCTCTGGTGATGATGGGATTTGTAGTTCCCAGTGTCTTCATGGAGTGCGGGTGGAGTCCACAAGTCCTGTATGGACTTTGCTCAGGACATCCTTTCCCCTTAACACCACTACACTCTCCTTACTTCACTTTCAGTTTTCAGTATGTCAGGGTGGCCAAGGAGAAATACACTGCTGAGAACACCCTGTGCAGGCCTGGTATTTCTTCCAGTTGTTTGAAACCCTTTGAAAGACCACTCAAGGTTTTCTCCAAGGCCCCAACTTTTCTGACTCCTCAAATTCCCTTGGCCTGTTAGAGCAGCTCTCCCAGGGAGACCTGTGGGAGAGCCCAGAGCTGGTAACCAGAAGGAATGGCAGAGAGGATTTGTTCCCGGTGCCCGCAGCAGTGGTGAAAAATTCGAGGATGCTGTCATCTCTGTAAGAAGAGCTTAAAATATGTGAGTGTTGCATTTTGGGTGATGGGCAAGAGGGAGAGGAGTGGGGAGATCTGGGCGGAGATCCTCAGGGCTGAGAAAGGACAAGTCACGTTATAACTGCACCTTTATCATGAAAGAATGTGTAGAGAGAAAATCTGTTGAGCCCAGAAGTAACGTGTGTGGCCATCTCTCTCAGTGATTGCTGTTGTCCCCTCTCTGTCTCTGTCCATTGGACAAAATGATCATGAATAAGAGTTTAAAGAGATTGTAGCTGGCTTCATCACCACAGAACATGGCTGCTGAGATGAATTGAGGACTGTTTTCTTGGAAAAGTGAAACTAAAGGTCTTTTCTGTGAGTGTTAAAGGCTTCCCTGAGTCCTCTGAGAATGACCCCACTGTTGTTCGAAAGCTTCGAGAGGCCATTTCTTAGAAGAACTGTAAGCCAACCTAATTTGAGCTTTACCCTTTTGCTCTCCTTTTGCCTTTACTCCAGCTATTTTCAGGACGTCCCTCTGTTCTTAACCCTGAGGAAGATAATGGGTTCTCTGCTGAGAGAGCTCTTCTCACTCCTGCTTCTCCAGGTGTCCATGTGGAGTTCAGGTGAGAATATTTTTATGTGGTCTATACCTGCATTCTCCTTATTCTCTCTGATCAGAAGGATCAAGTCCCACTGTTGCTTCTCATACATGCCTGGCTTAATTCTAAATCCTTTATTTTGATATAATGATTTATTTGTCCACATATGAAAGCAAGTAAGTATTATGTGATGATTTTTATTTTTTTAAATGAGGTCTTTTTTAAAATTTATTTATTTATTTACAAAAGCACTGGGTGGTAACGTCAGAAGCGCGGGAGGGTGAGAGAATTCACCAGAGACAGAGCGAGAAACAGAACAGGCAGACTGATGAAATACATTGCTGAGGGGAGCAGCGGGCAGCAGGAGAGGTCTGCATGCCATGTGGGACCCTTGCCAGCGGCCGGGGATCCAACCGGCGCTGCAGAGGCTGCGGGCAGCTTCGCAGCCCAGTGCTCAACCGCTGTGCCACCAGGGGAGGCCCTGTGATGATTTTTAAAGAAAAGGACCAGGACAGATTACTTCACTCATGTTTTCTAATTCACTCAGTTCTCTGCTTCATGTGGAATGCATTTTCCGATAGTCAAGAACTTGAAAACTCTAATTTCATGATTTCCCAGCACTCTTCCCTGCTCCTTCATAGAACGCACCACCATTACAATTAAAAAATCATTTGTTTAATATGAGATTGTCTTGGGGGTTGGATAGAAATCCTCTGTCTTGCTCACTACCATCTTCAGCTTGGAGGAGGGCTACCAGCAATTGCTGTGTGCATGAGGGAGTGTCCTGGGGCTCCACTGGGCCAGAAATGCCTTGTTCTAAAGGACTCAGGCAAGTCTTCCTCATACTCATTCCACTTCTGCCATCTTAAACAGATTCATTCTCAGTGATCGGCCCCACGGAGCCCATCGTGGCCATGCTGGGCAGTGACACGGTGCTGCCCTGTCGCGTGAACCCGCCCATGAGCTTGGAGAACATGGAGCTGCGGTGGTTCCGCGCGCAGTTCTCGGATGCCGTGTTGGTGTACCGGAATAGAGCGGAGCAACTGGGAGAACAGCTGGTCGATTATAAAGGCAGGACAGAGATGGTGAAAGACTACATCACTGAGGGAAGGGTAGCTGTGAGAATCCACAGCCTGCGAGTCTCTGATAACGGCATATACAAGTGTTTTTTCAAAAAAGACACCGATTTTGAAGAAGCCATTCTGGAGCTGAGGGTGATAGGTGAGTAAAATATGAGAATGCAGATCCGTCTAGGGGAAATGTCAGTCTCCTGCATTTAATGCGGAGGGAGGAGAGGGATTAGGAGAGAAACAAACGGGTAGGTAGCTTGGAGCTGGACAACATCCTGGGCACTGGATTTGACCCCAAATCCTCCATCTACTTGCTCTTTTCTGACCTGCACTCATTTAAAATTAAACTACTTCCATAAATAGCTATCATAAAAGTAGACACTTGTTTTCCTCATGTCTGTCCTCACATCTGCCTTCAACATGGCCCCTTCCCTCAGAGAACAGAAGCCATGTTGGCTGCTGTGATGGCTTCCAGCTCCCTGCGATGTGAGTGACGGAGGCCGAGTGCAGGGGTGCAGGGAGTGACGGGGAGGGTTGTGACAGGGTGGACTGGTATTATGGAGAGGGGAGGGAGGAAGTTTTCTTTCGAGGATAAGGTCATAAAATAATCAATATTCAGTGAAGAAGTGAAGCAGAAATAGAGAAAAACCGTTCACGCTGTGGTGTTTTTGAGGTCGGAATAAAAAGGCCCTAAAGGCAGGGGCTGCTGTGAGAGGCTGGAATGGAGTGAGGATTGATCCACAGAATTGACCTCTGTGAGTTTTATCATCACTGGGTCTGCTGCATGTTTGATCACAGTAAATTATAACTTCTTACGTCAAACCTGAACAATTCTGAAAAGTATGAAATATAGATTGGTACCCCTCCAATATTTCTTGTTCTCTGCTGAAGTAACTACTAATATCAGATTGTTCTATGTGTTTTTAATTATCACCCTTTTTTCATATATTATATATAAAAATACAGAAACTATAAAATATAATAAAATACATATTATAGAACGTTAATGTTATATAACAAATATTAGCTCTATAGAACCTCTTAATCTCTATTGATAAAGTAATCTTCAAAAAAGTTTATGTTTACTTATTTAAAAACAAAATTAAATATGTCTTTGAACCCTCAGACAATCAGAGGGTGTTCTTACTGGTCTTCCTGTGCCCATCTTTCCCTTGTGCAACAGCTGTGCAAGGGGCCTTGTAGTCTGGTAAAGCCTGTGGCATCAGGATTCAGCAAAAATCTCATCCAGATGTAAACCTTTACTAATTAGATAAAGACATTTGCCATCCAAAATCTTAACTAGAATCTAAGAAATCAGTTTTCCCCCTTCCAGTCATGATTTCAAGGAAAATAAATATTTCTTTACACTTTTCATGACTTTGAATATATTTTTTTTAATTTGTTGACATTTTATCAGCTAGAAAAATCTCATCACAAATTTGTATTATCCTTAAACCAAATATATATAGATTGGATATTTTTTCATGTGCTTCTTACCTATTTGCATGCTTTTTTTCTTTTAATTTCCTGCTTACGTCCATTACTGAATTGGGTTTTTCTGGGAGAGATATTTGTTAATATTTTATTGATTTATAGTTAGTTGCTCTTTTATGCATAAATGCTGAAAACATTTTTACTAGTGTGTATTTCTCACATAATTCTGTGTATCTTTCATTTATAGAAGTGTCAAAGTAGTATGTAGTCAACATTTTCCCTGATATTCCTGAGAAGTTTTAGGGAAACATGTTTTATGCCTTTATAGTTTTACAGGGCTTGTAAATGTATCCTTCTATACCAACAATATTTCACCTGCCCTTTTTTTGTAATACCTCATCTGTAAAATATATTTAATGTACCAATCAGACAGACTTTAAATGTGCTGTTTAGTAAATTTTCATATAGTGAATACCCCTGAGAAACCAGTACCCAAACCAGGAAAAAGAGCCTAATTAGAACCCAGGAATTACTTTTTCCCCTTCCAGAAATAATGTCATCAAAGAAATTCACTGTTTTGATTTCTAAGCTCATAGATTAGTTTTGCCTGTCTTTAAATTTCACATATACAGACTTTTATGTCTGGCCTTTTTTGTTCACCATTATGTTTGTGAGATCATTCTATCTCGTTAATTGTACATAGCTGTAATTCATTTCTGTGTCTTTTTATGTTTTGCTTTTTGCAGTTAGATCTTTATAGAAATGTGGGGTTTCGTTACAAAGTTTCATTAACTGTTCAAAATATTTTTCTTTAATGTGTATTCATTTATTTCTATACTATTAGAAAATAACATAGATAATCTGCACAAACTTACAGGTGTATTGCTTCCCATAAACTTCTCAGAGTTGCCAGGGAAAATTCTAAATTCTCTTTGTGGTTATAGCAATTTATCTTCCATTTCTTTGATAATATAATACCTTTTACTTTTATAAGGCTTTGTAGTATCTGCCAAGGCAAACAAGCTGGCGCTTTTTGTTTGTTTGGTTTGGTTTTTACTGCAGTGCTTTTCTTCTTTATATATTTTAGGCCTACCTTAAATTAATATGTCTAATTTGACTCTATCTGAGAAGGTACCTAAAGACTCACTTAATGCATATTTTGTAACTTTAATACAAAGAATCCAAATCCATTAGCTCTTTCCATTAGGAAAGATGACAAACTCTTATACCATGTTGCTTTGATACCATATTAGTATTTTCCTGAAAAGTGTTCAGATTTTCACAGTGCCAGAAATAACCTCATGCCTTTTCATTAACTTATATGTATAAAGATAAGCAGTCAGTTAATTTTATATCCACACTTATCTTCCATTCAGTTAACCTTTGCCTTGTGCAGCCACTCCTGTGCTCATGAAAGCAATCCCTTCTTTCTTCTCTCCCTCAACATGAGTATAGTCTTATCTACTCATTTGAACTTGGAACTTACTTTTTATGTAAATCCAGGAGGTGCAAGGTCTAACTGGTCTATTAGTTCTTGTTTTCTAGGCTTTAATCTGCTCCATTTTGCTCAGAATGAGTTTCACTCACTTCTATTCATTCCTTTCCATGAAAAGAGTCAGCAGCTCCCTCTGGCAATTCTGAGAAGATGTATTATCTTACAGACTGTTTTCTGTTTTCCAGAAGTGTTTGCCCCCAGGGCTTGGTTGTAAAAATTATTGTTTTACAATTTTTAGCCAAAAAAAAAGGGTAATATGCATGAGATTCCTATATATTACAGACATCTGAGGAATTGGAGTAAGACAGAGACATACATAAGAGAATCCATACTTTGGGATATGATGCTGTAAAAAGACAATATATAATCTTAAAAGTCGGGAGAGCCATTATCTTTGAAAGGACAATGGAGTCCTCCTGCAACCTAGTCGTGTGGTGTTATGGGTGCTGGTGATATGAGTCCACAGGTAGCCCCAGTCTGCAAAGAGTTGAAGAAAAGAAGAGATGTGGAGGGGATAGTATGGGATGAGACAAGAACAGTAAAAAGCAATTTTATTCCCTCACAGACTCACTTCATCTTGCTACCTTTATCTTTCAGATATTTCTCTACTCAGAGAAAGAGAAAATTTGAAAAAAAAAAAAAAAACAGCGCTTGTTTAAGGACAACTTAAGCATAGAAATACACTCTTTCTGGAGACTCCAATAAAATAGGATAGACAGATAAATACATATAAATATAGAATTGAAATAAATATACTGATTTCCTTCTGGAAAAAAAATCAACAATTGGCAAATTTTATTCTTCTCCTTTCCTAATATCTATGACCAACTGCAGATATGCCTGGGTAGAGGAGATATAACAGGCATCTGTTTCAGTCCTAGTATCAATATCAAGTCTCATGTGATTTTGAACCACAGATATCCATTTACCTTATAAAAGTAAAAAATAAACCTTTGCCTTCCCACCCAGAAATATGGTGCTTCATCCATCTCCCCACACTGGTGTTTTTTGTAACATTAGGAACTTGTGGAGAAAAACTCTCCAAGTCTCACTCAGATGAATGATTTTCCTCTCCAGGTCTGGGTTCTGGTCCTTTTATTTCCATGGTGGGTCCAGAAGACACAGGAATAAGACTGAAGTGCACAGGCAAGGGATGGTTTCCCCAGCCTGACATACTATGCAAAGATGCAAAGGGAGTGAAGATATCACCTCTATCTGAGGTCGAGACCCAGGACGATGACGGATTGTATCAGATGGAAGTATCCCTTATTGTCAGAGACAGCTCAAACAGAGACGTGTCCTGTTCCATGAAGAACCCCTTCTTTGGACAAGAGCAGGAGGAAACCATTTCCATCCCAGGTCAGTGTTCCTCATTTGGAGGACAGGACAGGAGTGAGAAGGGAAAATTGAAATCTGGGATGGAGTAGGCTTGCTTTGTATATGTTTTTGATTGGGTTTTGGGGGTTCTGTGTCAGAGCCCTTCTTCCCTAGGACCTCCCCTTGGAAGATAGCATTTGTGTTGACTTTTATCATACTTGGGATTTTCGTGGGCACTGCTGTGTTCTTGGCTTGGAAAGGACAACAGAAAAACAAGAAATTACAGGAAGTCAAGGAGGAAAAAGAGAAAGAATGTAAAGATAAAGGTAAAATTGCAATTAACACTTGGTGGGATCTATGAGTTTCTGGGATTCTTAACATGACTGTGCAAACAGATGGCTCTGTTAGAACAAGGTATGTGTAGTGCTAAGTTACAACTCTGAGATTTCCAGCAAGACATGGAACCCAGGAACTCTTTGAGAAAAATCACAATGGAGTTCACTAGAGAGAGAAAACTCATTGATTTAAATTTGGAGTTAGGAAAAAAATGTTCATAGTAATTTTCAACTAAGGTAGATTTCTTGATCATATTGTATGCAAGTAGCATTCGGGTTCTGTACTTAGTAACATCAACTAGAAAGCAAGCCTTGGACTTTGTGAAATCTGTTTTTCTATTTGCTTTCCTTTTAGAGAATTTCCAGAAGGAGCTTGGTAAGTTTTACATTTTCTTTATCCCAAAAAGGGAAATAGAATCCTTATTCCCTGCTGTGTTCTTCACATCTCACTGGATGTTATTACTTTTCAGAGAGAAGGAAAGAATTATATAAACATGGTGAGTTAAATTGATGTTATGACTGAGTTAGCATCTCATCTGTCTTCTCGCTGGTCACCTCTAATTTACCTTGCTGGTGAAAGGGGATCCCCCACCCTGAATGCAATAAGATGGTCAGATGCATGATCTGAACACTGGACAAATGAGATTGACAGCATTTTAATTATCACATATATTCACATCCTATAGTAGGAGGATGCACATGCCATAAAGACACATGGGGTCACACAATGAACCAGTCAGGGCTGCAGGAGGCAGACTTAGTAGTAACAAAAAATAAGGTACCTCCATTTTCTGTGGAAATAAGTGGTTGCTTGTTTAAATAATTTGCAAGCTGATAAGGAGTTGAAAGCCATTAGGTCAAAGATCAGGCTGGGGGAAGGTTCAGTTGGCTTGGCCAATAGGGGATAAGCTTATTAGGGAACTTTTTCTGCTGGGTGGGGGGTATATTTGTAAGGATAGAGAACACACATTTATGTGTTTGGCTCCTTGTGAGGCTAAAAGATGTCAAAGCAACACATCAAATTTTAGGATTAACACTCACAACTGAAGCTTAGCTTCTTTCTCTCAAAATAACTGTATCATCACACATTATCACAGATATGTTAGTAGAATGAGGAAAATATGAGAAATAGAAGAGTTGTAAAAGAAAGCAATTATCCTATAACTAACATTGAGGTGATAAATCCAGAACTTACAACATTATCATAAACCATCAGATTCCTTATTGTTGTAGCATATTCATACTCTGAAGTGAAGGTCCTATGATGGGAAAATCTAATTCCTTTGTTTTATTTCAGACTGGAAAAAATCAAAGTTATATGCTGGTGAGTAACGACATGGTCTTGGGACTTCAGGTACTCCAGGACCTCATGAATAATTTCTGGGGAATTTTTTCAGAGATGTGTCATCTTCTAGAGATTAAATTTGAAGTTGGGAGTCCAAAAATATACAGGGGACAAGCATCCCTCTAGGTCAGGGAACACATTCTTGGCATATTTCCCCATCTGGATTTTTTTTTTTTCTTTTTAGACTGGAGAAAGGAGCAGTTCATACCAGGTGAGTGGCCTTATTATTTTGTCCCACATAATCTCTTCTACACAAATGAGAAACCTTTGCATTTGTATAAATTCCCAATAATACTATTGGTTATTCATTTCAAGCTTGCTTCCACTTCTGTCTTAATCTTATCCTGAAATGTTAACAAATTTGTTACAGTTGTGAATATCATGTGTTCATTCATTAAACATAAGATTATACTACTACTTATTTGGTGTCAAATAAATTAAGCAGATATGATCTCTGACCTCACAGAAACACATATATAAGTTGTAACTGATGTTATGATGGAATAAGATATTTCATTAGAAAAAATGGTGGATTAAAAAAAAAATAGTCCCAGGGCCTCCCTGGTGGTGCAAGGGGTTGAACCTGCACTGTGAAGCTGTTGCAGCCTCTGCAGCATGACTTTGATCCCCAGTGGGGAGCTACCCACATGGCACAGCAGACCTTTCCTGAGTTGACTGCTGCTCCCCTAGACATTGTACTTTGGTCTATCTGCCTGTTCTGTTCTCTGCTCTGTCTCTGGTGGATCCTCTTACCTCTCATACCTGTGGCCTGTACCCCACTTCTTGTAATCATGAATGGATAGATCTTTAAAAAAAAAAATAGTCCCACCAAAAATTGATATTTAATCTGAGACTTAAATGATACAGTAGATGTATTCATGTAAATAACATTGAAAGAATAGTTCAATCAGAAGGAAGTCTGTTGTGTAACCAGCCTGAAATAGAGAAGAGTTTGTTGTATCTCAGTGTGGGAGGAAAATGGCCCCTGGCCATCTTAGAGTCTTTCTAGAATCATGAGTTGATTATCAATTTCTATGATACTTTACTCTGAACTATCCCTGTCTCCATAAACATTTTTACTTAATTTACTCCTCTCAAATTTAAAACATATCCTTATATCTTAAATAGAAATTCTTTTTGAATTTTTAAATTAATTTATTTCTTTTAAAAATCCTTGTTTATTTTTTCACAATATAGCATTTCTCCCCTCATGTGCAGTAACCACTGTTTTCCCATCACTGTGCCTACAGTTCTCCACATACTAATTCTTATGAGAAAAACATTAATTACCGAAGATGTTTAGTTTCACAAGCAAATAATCGCTACTAGTACTAGTATTATTGCTGTATTACTACTAGTATTGATGTTACTGTAAATATTGGAAGAGGGCCTCCCCTGGTGGCGCAAGTGGTTGAGCACCTCTCTGTGAAGCTGTCCGCAGCCTCTGCAGCTCCAGTTTGATCCTGGCTAGCCGGCGAGGGTCCTGCATGGCGAAGCAGACCTCTCCTGTCTCGCCTGCTGCTCCCCTCAGCAGTGTATTTCATCAATCTGCCTATTCTGTTCCCCACTCTGTTTCTAGTGAATCCTCTCACCCTCCTGTGCATCTGACCTGTACCCCGGTTCTTATATAAATAAATAAATCTTTTAAAAAAATAAATATTGGTAGATAAAATTTACCAAGTGTTCATCATGAACAAGACATAGTACTAAATCCTGTACAAGTTATCTCATTTATTTCCCCCAGTAGTCCTATGTTGAATTATCACATTTATGCACATCATGATGAAGAAAAGTGAAATGTCACTTTAGAAGCTAAGTAATTTCACTAAGATCACAGCTAGTAAGGGCATAGTAATTATTATCAAAATTAGATCTTTATGACTAAAGGCCTTAGAATTTCAAACATTAGAAATATGAGTGTGTGAGAAGTGGATTATTAGTTATTACATAATCCCACATAAAAAATGATGACAAAAATGTGTATATGAAAGTTCATACACCATTATTGGGAATATGACAAAGCTGAATTATTAAGGACAAGCATTAAATAACAGACATTTGAAGGAGGATGGCAGGACCCCATCCTGAAAAGCCTGACCCTGAGTACATTCAGATGAGACTGGCCTCTTTGTTAGATGGTCTCAGCCCATAAGGACCTGACCAACCCTTAATTGATGTGGGAAGGAATGTAAATTGTTTTACCAAGTCTCCCATTGGCTACCTCCATTCTGCTTTACCAGTATTTTCATCTTTCTTAAGGCCAACCAGTCCCCTTGTGGAATGACCTTAATTTCTTTTTCTTCACCTGCAGTGGATGTTACTCTGGATCAAAAAACAGCTCATCACAACCTCCATGTATCTGAGGATAGAAAACAAGTCTCAATACAGAGTCAAGATGAATCTGAAGATATCTTCAGTGTTCTGGGCCAGAATTGTTTTAGCCAAGGAAGACATTACTGGGAAGTAGAAGTAAATTTGGAGGATGAAGTTGGACCTGGAGCTAGATGGGCTCTGGGGGTTTGCTCCGATACAGTGAAGAGAGAAGGGTGGTTTGTAGAAAGTCCAGAGAAGAATTTCTGGGTGGTGAGCTACAAGGACGGAGAATTCAGGATTCCCATCTTAAAGGAACAACAAGGAGGGAAAAGTCAGGATTCTCATTGTCTGTCACCGAGGTGTCTCCCCAAGAAGATAGGAGTTTTCTTAGACTGGGAGGAAGGGGATGTGTCTTTTTATAACATGGTTGATGGGTCCCACATCTATTCTTTTAGTAGAATAAAATTTTGTGGGACCCTCTGTCCTTATTTTAGCCTTCAGGGTTCTGGCACGTCTGTGACCATCTGCTCAGAAAAGCATCCTGATTCTTCTCCAAAGACCCCTGAAACTCACTTGACAAACTGTGATACGGATGTCCTGCAAGAAGCTAATTCTTTATTACCTTCTCAGGAAGTGAAGTGTTAACATCTCTGCTCCTCTGCTTGTGTTGATTATAGGAATATTCTCTAAGAAAGCTGACCTGGTGGAGAACGGGTCAAGTTTACTAGTTAAGATTTCAGACCCTTTCAAAGGAGAGGCAGAGAGAGGAAGGGACAACTGGAAAACATCTGGGGAATTTCCTTTAGTGTTACTTTTGGGGAGAAACAGTATCTTTTTGAGCAGCAACAATTTGTCACAAGAATATGAAGGGCTATGTGGTGGAGGTTGGGTGCTTGGGTGGTGTGAGTGTCATGGTAATGAAGGGAGACCTATACTTTCAAAATAGGAACAATTAAATCAACACTAGCTCAATTTTAAAAAGGAAAACTGCAAACAGATGCATGGCACCTTTTCCATTCTGGTGTTCAGTATGTGTTGAAGTAAATATGTGTGTGCTGAAGTATTCTTTTAATTGTATGTGCCGAAGTATTCTTTTAACTGTGGTAACATTAGGATTTCTCCCTTGAAGTATCGCCACAATAGTGCACCCACCACCAGATCATCCCTATTCCACCACCATCATCCCATCATCCACCCTGTTTCCTTCCTCTTTGTCCTATTCCTTACCCCCTCCCACTGAAATAAATATTTTTAAGCTATAATAAAAGGGAAAAAAATCTCTTCTTTTTTTTTTAATCAAATATGAAAGAGGTGTGGTGTTTGAAGGGGAGGGTCACAGTTGTGTGAATTCTTAACACATTACAATTGTTAACTAGACACAGAATCTGTTCCAGTATTTTGAGAGTTAATAACTCAGCTTGTCAATTATTTTTTTAAGATTTTTATTTATTTATTTGTTTGTTTGTTTGTTTGTTTGTTTATTTATTTATACAAGAACCGGGGTACAGGCCAGATGCGTGGGAGGGTAAGAGCATTCACCAGAGACAGAGTGGGAAACAGAACAGGCAGACTGACAAAATACACTGCTGAGAGGAGCAGCGGGCGAGACAGGTGAGGTCTGCTTCACCATGTGGACCCTCGCTGCTGGCAAGGATCAAACTGGCCAGACAGCCTCACAGCACAGCACTCAACTGCCTTCACCACCAGGGGAGGCCCCTCAGCTTGTCAATTCTTTAAGCTCTAGTGCCCACAAATTTCTAAATTTGTACTTTGCCGCTGGGTAACTATAAACCACTGATAAATAACTATAAACAGGAGACCACATCTTCTGGGAAGGAAGAGCCCTTTTGTTAAATAATTCTCCCTGGTGAGCAAGTTCAGACTTGTGTCCTGTGTGAGTATGTGAATAAAAAAGGAATTGCTGTTGTGATTTATAATTCAGAGGGAAAAAAAAAGTCAAATGCATAAGAGAACATGTCACAGTTAACACTGGCATTTTTTTTCCTTTCTGAACATATTCTTCCCACTGTTGAGGGTTTTCTTTGCCTTTGATATGACTAAGCTTCTCCGACTCTACCAAGTTTATGTTATCAGAATATAAAATGAACTTATTCTACTAAGTCTGCTCTTACTGATTATAAAATAGATCCATTTAGGTATTTATACATTATTGACAGATCTTTAAACCACAAGCCTTGTTATCAACCTCTGTTGCAAGAGGTATCTCCTTAGTGAAATTTTTCTGGCTGGAGGCTTCGCCAGTGGCTCAACGGTTGAGCGCCACACTGCGAAGCTCTCCGCAGCCTCTGCAACACCGATTCGATTCCCTGCTGGTCAGGGAGAACCCCACATTGGCGCACCAGACCTCTCCTGCCTCACCCACTGCTCCCCTCTGCAGTGTCTTCAGTCTGTCTGCCTGTTCTGCTCCCCACGCTGTCTCTGGCCCGTTTGCCTGTTCTGCTCCCCACTCTGTCTCTGGTGAATTCTCTCACACTCCCGTGCTTCTGACCCGTACCCCAGTTCTTGTATAAAATAAATAAATAAATAAATCTTATTAAAAAAAAGAAAAAAAAAGAAATTTCTCTGGTAAATGCAGTCAGTATTTTAATCCACAAAGAATAAATACAAAGTCCAGAATATTAATTGACAGTAAAAGGAGGGTTTCTACAGTAAGCAAGAAATAATAAAGACAAGAGAGGTAAATGAATGATGGGAAAATAGGATTAACTATCATAAAATAGATGTGAGGAGAGATTTTTGGACATGAGAAACTATACATGGAGCTAACAACAAAACTTAAACAAGGGAGATTAGAACTAGGAGAGATAATTACAAGAATAATGAGATCACAATTAATATGTTACTTTTGTTATATACTCAGGATATTCAGTGTGAGGTTTCCAAATGAGAGTTTATGCTTCTTACAGACACTAAATTCATATAATGTTCTACTATAAGATTTATTCTACCTATCACCTTTCTACTCATTTTAATTTTTTGTGTGTTTTTGTTGTTGTTGTTGTTCGTTTATTGTTCTTCTTAGCTTAGAGAGCATAGGCTGGTTGGGGAGCATGTAGGAAGACAGTGAAAGAAAATGTGATGACTAGAATTCATCCAGAATCAGAGTTGTGGAAATGTCAGAAATAATGCCCATCATATCCACACATCTAGCTGCGGGTAAATCAACAAGCAGTGAAGAGTCTCCAAGTAAGCCATGGTTTTGGCAAAAGAGTGACATTAAATTCACCACCTGACTTCATCAATTAATTCTTTATTACTGGACTACCATTTCAAGTAGTGTTTATGAAGTTATGATAAGACATTTAAAATACAGAGACTTCACTAGAATGAAGAAATATTTCAGGCCAGGAATTATGTCTTTTTCCACATTTTAACTCTAGTGTTTTGGCATAGTGCATTCTACAAAGAGGTACTTAATAAATACCCTATTTATGAATCTACTCATGCATTCCGCAAATGTTTATTCATCAACTAATGTATGTCACCTTATAGATTGTGAAGATACACAAAAAGGTAAAATATCATCACCCTACTCAAACTTAGAACCTACTGTCAAATGAGGAAAAATGTCCTGGGGGAGAGATAAGAAATTTAGTCTCTGGGCCTCCCCAGTGGTGCAGCGGTTGAGCGCTGGGTTGCGCAGCCTCTATGGCACCAGTTCAATCCCCGGCTGCCAGGCGAGGGTCCCACATGGTGCGCAGACCTCTCCTGCCGCCCGCTGCTCCCCTCAACAATGTGCTTCATCCGTCTGCCTGTTCTGCTCTGGCTCTGGTAAATTCTGTGGCCCTCCCATGCTTCTGACTGTGCCCAGTGCTTGTATTAATAAATAAATAAATCTTAAAAAAAAAAGAAATTAATCTCTCTGGTTTCCCCCAGTCCTCGCCTTGAAATTGAGGTCCATCCAATCCTTACTTTGACTTTGACTTTACCTGCCACAGTCAGCTCTCTGAACTTCAAGAGCGAGGACACTGGACACTGGAGGGCCAATCCAATTGTTCATTCATTAGCCACAGTTTCACTAAGTGGGGCATTTACTCAAGTCATGATTCATTCTCCTTCTCTGTGGTTTTTCTCAGCGGAATTGGAACTAGGAAAGTAAATTAATCCCTCTTTGGGGAACCTAATCAAGATATGTTCCTTGAGAGTGAAAGGAATTCACTAACAAAAATACACATAGATTTATATACAGGACCTGTACAAGCACAAAAGATTAACAAGCAAAGAGATGATTAGGAAGACAGACTCAAAAAAAAAAAAAAAAAAGTCTTCGGTTAGGCAGAGCAACATGGCTGCGAGGAGACGCTGCGAGTAAGATCTTCCATTAAAAAAAAGTTAATAGGGAGGAAAAATGGCAGGTCCCAGTGAGAACTGGGACACGGAAGATAAACGGACGACTCCAGCAAACTACCCGAAGAAGAAAGTTGCCATAAAAGAGGACTAGAAGGGAGGAAAGCGCAGAACCCTGCCACCCTCCCCCACCCACAGAGTCGGCACTCTCCGACCAACAGAAAGGAGGAAAAAAAATAAACCAAAACGACCAACAAGAACAAACTACGCATCAAGCGGGACTGTGAGTGGAAAGGAACTATTTCAGCCACCACACCCCGTGAACGGGAGCTGTGGAGAGCCTGCAGGATTCGCCGCAGAGGGGAGCTAATGGCTCTGGGCGCCATTGGAGAACAACAGAGACCCCTGGAGATCTGCACACAGCCCTGGGCCGGCCGGTAAGCTTGCGCGGAAAAGTTGCGCACTGGGAAAGCAAAGGCGGATCGCGGCTGCCCAAGTCCCCACGCCTGCGACCTAGGATTGCGGGGAGGTGCACGGGGGCCCTCACTGAGGTGAAAGTCCTTCACTGAGTAATCAGGAACCAGGCGCCCGGGCACGGGAGCAGGGTGCAAAAGACGCCATTATTGCGGCCACTGAACTGGTCTACAGCCCATGTCCTGGACTTGAGGGCTTTGGAACTGAGACTCGGGGCATGAAATCCGGGGTGTGGGTCCTCCACGTCAGTGGGGCACAAGGCAGACACAGCACCCCAAAGCCATTGAGGTTTTCCCTACCACTCCCACTATGTTCCCTGTCCCACGGGGTGAAAAAACAGCTCCCCAAGAACAATAGGAGAGATCTCTGGCGCCACCTAGCTTGAAACAGGCAGAAGGCTCCTGGAGGAGCCCGTGGCCAGCTGGAAGTTAGCCCACCCCAGGCCCCTTCAGACCAGCAGTCTGAGCCCACAGGGGAGCGGGCACCCACGGCCGGGCAGACCGGGCGTGCAGAAGAGTGTGCCTGAGACCGGATGCGCAAGGAATGCGTCCCGCATCACCATTTTAGAACAGGGACATTTCTTCAGTAAAGACTGCCTGCAGAAGGCTCCCTTAGGAGCCAGAGGTGAGCGGGGAAGCTCGCCCATGCCAGGCCCCTTCTGGCCTGCAGTCCAAACCCAGAGGGGGAGCAGGAACCCACCGCCAGAGCAGACCAAGCGCACAGGGGAGTGTGTCCCCACATCGGCATTTTAGAAAAGGGACCTTTCTTCAGTAAAGACTGCTTGAAAACGACGGATGGCTCCTGGAGCAGCCAGAGGGGAGCGGAGAAGTTCACCCAAGATGCTGGCCAGTCCCAGCAACACAGTGTCCCAATGCATACGACAAATTAGAAAACAGACAGTAGGGAGTAGAAGAACCACACGCAACCTAACAAATCCTCAGGAAAAAAGCACACCACAAAAAGAAAACCACCCTCCAGATTGCAACGACAGTAACTTGGAAGAACTTCTGAGCCTTCCAGAAAGAGAATTTAAAATTGCCATGATTAAAAAAATGACAGAACTCATAAAGGAAAACATGATCAGAAGAAGGAAATTGAGTCCCTAAAGAGGGAAAACAATAGTCAGAAGAATGAAATTGAGTCCCTAAAGAAGGAAGTAAAAGAAATGCAGGAGATCAAAGATTTAGTGGAGACACTAAAGAACTCTGGGGAAAGCAATGAAAGCAGAATAGATGAAATGGAAGAACGAATAAGTACTCTTGAAGATGCAGAAATAAAAAGAACCAAAACAGAAAAGGAAAGAGAAGTATGAAGGAAAAAGAACTAAGAAAGACTTCGGGAACTATCTGACTCCATGAGGAAAGGAAATATAAGAGTTATAGGAATACCAGAAGGAGAGGAGAGAGATGTAGGAACAGAGAAAATATTCAAAGAGATAATTGAAGAGAACTTCCCAAATATGAAGAAGGAGCTGAAAATTTATAT